TATAAAAAATAAATGCAACAATTGATTTGTTTCCAGTCATTATTACATGAGCCAAATAATACTCAAGATAAAGAACATCAGATAATATTGTAAGGTATGCAATCAGCAAAAATATTGACAATTTTTTCCGCATTTTATAAAGTACAAAAAAGGGTAACTATACATGATAGGAAATGCAGAGGGCGTGTACCACTTTCATCATCAGATAAATCAGCAAGCCTTGCAATGGCGTCGTTGAGTGCTAATTCCTGCTCCTGTTTCAGAAAAAAGAAAAGGATCTTAAATCTAACCGAAAGAGATTGTCAAGTAGGATAGTTGGCTTAGTGACAGAAAAATCCAATTATATATAAACTTACAGACACACTTCTTATACTTGTTTGTTTTGCAAGGTAAATCTCTCAATAAGTATATCTTGTAAAATAAAGTCAGGAACATCAAGAATGTGTCATGTACTTCTTGAAGAAATACATTTTCGTGACAATAATTAAGAGATGAAGCAATAAAAAAAAATACCTTAAGCACTTTCTTTGCCTTCTCTATCTCCATTGGGTCCGGATGACCGGCGCTAAAAACCCTCTCAATCTACCAAAAAGATTCAAATTTCATCAAACGAGTACTATATATCTAAACGGATGTTTAACAACATACCACTACTACATATATGATATACCTCTCGAATTAGAGTATCGGTATGAAGCAACTGGATTTCGTCAGGTCCCTTGGTTCCTATACCATTCTGAGATGGCGGAAAGTCTTTCCTTGGTTGACTTTTGGTCAAACCCCTCCCTCTGCCGGGGCCTGGACCATTGTTATCCCGAGGACGGCTGATCCCATGCCCGGGCACACCAAGACCTCCACGACGGGAGACCCCGGGTTCTTCACCTTCCCATTTTATATCCTCTGGTGAAATCTGCAACGAAAAATATGCAAAAAATTTATTTTTTTATCCCCAACATTTTCTGGTGATAACATAATGTATCTTCAAAATACAAATACAATCTCAAAATAGAGATGATCTATTTACTCCCGCAGTTTTATTCAAGGCTAAAACCAAGCTATGGTAGGTAAATGTAGTTTTCACATTTTATTTCTAAGACAACTCATGCAATAAATAAACAATGCCGAAAAAAGGAGTGTGTGGGGGTGTTCAACCGTAATATATGAGTAATGTTAAACCGCATATCCATAAATAATGAATTTATGAAACTGATAAGAACAACAACTTTCTAAGTCATGTCAGCTAGAGCAAAAGCTTGCATACCTCAGAAAGGTTGACCCACTCCCATGTCTCATTCTGAGTACCTATGTCATAAACAAGAGCATGTCGGCCCTGGAAAAACCCACAGAAAGCAACTTAATAACTAGATGAGCAAAAAGGAATGTCCACAAATGGAAGGCGTTGCAAAAAATTACCTCCGCTGGATTATAATCGGTAATCACGGCTTCATAAAAGTTATTGTCGTCTGGCCATCTGGTTCGTACTTTCCTTCCAATCAGCGGATCGAATGAACCTCCCTCAGCTGGCTCATTTGTAAGGACACCTGAAGACATTCGGTTACCAAATTGCCCTCTTCCTGCGGGACCTTGGGGATACTGCATTTTCATCGAGGATGGTCCTGTCGGCAGCTGAGCAGTAGAGAGAAAATTTAATAAGGCTAAATTATGAAGCAACTCGCTACTCGTGAAGCTGCTGAGGTTTGACCCAGATATAATAAAGTTACTAAAACCCTACAAGTATTACAAATTAACCTATGCTCCCTTGAGATTTGACCTCGAATATTGAATTTTTCCTGACAAAATATCCCCAACGGAGTTTCAGGGTACAATTAACAAAATAGAAACAAATACAAAGCTGGTTTCTTAAAAGATATTCAGGAGAATTTCAGTGATTTAAGTAAAACCCAGTGGTATTATTTGCAAGTAACCGAGAAATTACTAAAGAAAATCGCGGTATAAGTTGGTAATAAAACTTCTAACTCACTGATTTATGTTTTTTGCCTTTCCCTCCCATCATGGGCCCACGCTTTGAGGCCGAGGACAAGGGTTGATTCATTTGGGCCATCGGCTGTGGATGAAAAGGAGATGGCCCACCAAATGATTGGGAAGGTAATGATGGGGCCCCCTTTTGCTTTTTACGAGAAGCTGAGATAGAAGGACTGGGTGCCGGATCATGCGCAGCAGCCCCTTGACTAGCACCGTGAATGCTTGCCTGACGCTCAACCGACTGTCTCCACTCCCTAGTATAATTTCCCAAAAAAAATAAAAAATAAAGAAGAAGAAGAAGAAGAAGAAGAAGAAGAAGAAGAAGAAGAAGAAGATAATAAATCTATGGTTGGTAAATGGGAGAAATGATCATTTATCATTTAAGAGGTTGACATGACTTTCTGAACCAAAATCTAGTAACCGCATACACAAATCAGACAAAACCTTATTCTTCTGATTGTCTCATCTGAATTAACCCTGCTTAGAAGATCTCTGTGCTCCTCATTGGATAATCTCAACTCTTTCCTGAGCTCCGTTATTAGACTTTCCTTTTCCTGAAAAACAAAATCCAAAAGAGAAAGAACTTTCATTTAGCATATGTATAAACACAGCCAAAAACAAGTACCGACTTCTCTCGGATTCATGTATTACTGTAAGTTGAAGCATATTACCCAGGTAATAGCATCTCCTTGAGCTTTAAAAGCTCTAAGAACAGAACTGTACGCTTCTTGCTCGAGCTGGTGGATTTTCGCTTCCATATCGTTGTCATCATACATATTCCTCGGGAAAGGGTGAGAACCCATGGCTGCCGGCCTTCCATTGCCGGAAATCCAGCCACCCCTAGACATTCTATTTTGGTGGGGCTGGGGTGATTCAACAGGCGTATCTGCAATGATATATAACGATAATATAACAGAATCAAAATTTTGGCATACAATTATTAAATAATTCAACTTTATAAATACGTTCAAGAGGACATATTAAGCATTAATCCAGGAATATTCACTGATGAGCGACGCAAAATGCACCTTAAAACAATATTTCGAACACATGTCATTGAAATATCCCACAAAGCTTAAAAGGTGTCCCATGTCACTGCACTTAAACTGAACCACAAGCATTAATAAAGTGTATACTGCATATGTTTCTCAGATGAAGTGTCACTGGTAATTTGTCACACTAAGAGATAAAAACCACAATCAGTAAAAACCATCCTACTTCAAATCAAATGAAAGCATTGACAACCTTACTAAGAGTGAAAGCTTACAACAACAACAACAACAACATACATACCCAGTATATTCCAACTAGTTGGGGGTCTGGGGAGTCAGTTGTACGCAGACCTTACTCTTATAATTATACAAGGAGGTTGTTTCCGTAGCGACCCAAGGTGCATTGCGTCATTTGATATATTTTTTTTTCTAGAAACTTCACTAATAGAAGAAGCACTAGAATTTAATTGAGTCATTTTGATCTAGTCAACAATGACTCTTCCAGGTCGATTTGCAATGGACAAAACTAAGAGTGAAAGCTTAAAGAGACAAAAACATATTTTTCAAGTTATCTTGATCAACTGCCGCCACGACTACCCCAAAATTTATGGAATATCAAATTTTGCACAACATAATCAGCTTACCTCAAGCAGCCACAACTCCAAATTCCAGAGCTCACAAAACAACTCTTTTGTTTTTAAGAAATTATTTTTCACTGGTCAATTATACTTCTCTACAGCAGAAACCAGAAATCTCCCAAAGGAAAGAGCAAGTACATTCTTTTTAGGAAAATTTCAAAAATTAATCCTATGAACCTTAGAGCTTCGGTGACACAATCCTAGTCATTACAATGTCAACAGAACAAACAATGCCTGTAATACTCAAACCCTAATCAGATTCCACCCAACAACCTTAGCAAAAATAAACTGCACCAATCACTGCAGACACTTATTGCTTTAGGCCAGAAGCTTTAATATTTTGAGGTCCCTTAACAACAAAAAACTCACCACTACTGTCGTCCGCCATAGCCGGCTTTACTCCGGAACAAGGATTCACAATTTATACCAGCTCAAAACGAGGAAACCCTAGAATTTTCACGAAATCGCACGAGCTGCGCAACAAAACCTGGAAAGATTAAACCTTCGCCGAGCAAACAGATGGTTTAAGCGAATCGAATTTGGGGCATTGCTGGCCTTCGTGTGTGTATTCCTGTTTTGGGGGTGGCGGACGTGAAATGCCTTCCTGCAATCGGGTTAAGGGGCAAGGTTGAATTCCGAGCTTTTTTTTTTTTGTTCCAAAACTATTTTTGCCTCGCTTATTAATCCCACGTGCGAATTGGAGATGGCGAATAGAGAAATTTATATTTGGAAAAAGAATGTGAGTGTTATGTACACCTCAATATACAATATTATGTACTTATAGTATTATTAACTCTGATCGTCAAATCAAGTAAACAAACGAAGCTCTAACCATTTAGTAAAACTAGTTGAATTGAGCTTGTTCGCTAACAAATTTTTTGTTAATTTTTATAGATTTTAAATATAATAAATGCTTTGAAATTATTTTCAAATGAATATTTCAGTTTTGCAAACAATCGCTTAAAATTTGATGTTTATTAATGAATTGAATGAGATCGTTTATTAAACAAGCATGAGCTCCATTGATAGCTACCCGTATCACTATTGACGACCTATTTGCCATGACTTTCACCTTTTGTTTAGCGAACTATTTAAGAGCAGAGCCATGCCATAAGGAGACCTTGGCGAGCAATTTTTTCTAAATTTATCTCTATTTGTAGATAATAAAAAAATATGAATTTTATTATTTATTTTTTATTTTTTTAAACAAAAATAAATAAATTTAACCAAGGGACAAGTGTCCCCTTCTAAACATCAACAGGTTGAAACTTTGGGTTACATTGTGACTTCGGTTGCACAATCCATTGCTTTTTTATATATATTTTTTATTTTTAATCGGTGACCCACTCTTTGGGACGCCGATAAAAGTAATCTCAGATGATACTCGAGTTGAATTAAAATTAAGTTAACGAATTGAGTATGGATGGAATAGTTTCACGTGCAAACACACCCTAATTCTTTGAACTTTCCACTCTTTAAACTTTCCACTCTTTAAACGTGTTTTTTCTAAACAAAAACCCTGCATCAGCAGTTCAGCACACAATTTGGAGCGTGCAGCATTTCTTAAACCCCTCCTAGCAAAAACCCTAGAGCCAAACCACCAAAGTCTCTTCTCTCATCAACCCCTTTCGTCTCTGTGCCTTCACGTTCGAATTCCGATGGAGGAGAAAACGGAGGAGCTCTCCCCGCCGGCCAACAAACGGCAGCCAATTTTATGTGAGGAGTGCAAATTATACCCTTCAAAGTACAAGTGCCCCGGCTGCTCCATCCGCTCCTGCAGCCTCCCCTGCGTCAATTCCCATAAGAAACGCACCGCCTGTACCGGAAAAAGGCCCGTCACAAGCTTCGTTCCGATATCGCAGTTCGATGACAATCTCTTAGTTTCAGGTTGGTTTATTCGCTGATTTGAAGAAAATTAGATAACCCACTTTAAATTTCTACTGTTTGGACAAGTATTTTGTGGATACAGCTGAAGTTGGTGCATTCTGATTAATTTGAGTCTTGGGGTATTTCGGTGTATGCAGTAACTTGCGATGCTTTATGGGTTTCTGATCAGTTAGTTATTGAATGTTTAGTTCGATAAAATCGCATATTTTATGCATTCCTATTTCGTAGCTGCAGCCGAAAATTAGTGCATTCTGACTCAAAATTTGACTCTTGGTGTATTTAGGTGTATCAAGTAACTTGTGATGCTGAATGCGCTTTTGATCAGTTAATTATTGAATGTTTAGTTCGATAAAAATGCATATTTTATGCATGCGTATTTCGTAGCTGCAGATGAAAGTTGGTGCATTTTGTTGGAAAATTTGAGTCTTGGGCATGTTGGTGTATTCAGTAACTTGTGATGCTGCATGGGTTTCCAATCACTTAACTTTTGAATGTTTAGTTCGATAAAAATGCATGTTTTATGCTCGTTTGTTATGGTGGTCTGAGAATTGTAGATAATTTGTTGAATTTATTGCACTCTTCCCTCGATTGAGTTCTCTTTACATTATCGTATATTAGCAGGTTCAATACTGTTTTTCGGGAATTAAGTAGTCTCAGGCGAGAATAAAGGCTGTCTTGTTAGAGGACTCATTAAAAAAGCTCAAAGTGGATATGTGCAAATGCTCTCCATCCTTCTTTGCCATTTGTTATTATATTTTTCTGTTTCTTTTATCGTTATCTTTGTTTTGGTAGATTATAACATGCTTGAGGACGTGAAAAGAATTGCCGAGTCAGCTCAGAGGATGAGAATGAAGTTGTGTGGAAACTCACATTTTAAGCTTCCTTTACCCCTCAAAAATCTTAAATATGCTGCCACGAGCCGGAGAACGAAACTGCTATTTCTTTCTAGTGGAATGTCCAAGAGGCAGAAGAATAAGACTTACTACAACTACAGGTGATTTGTGCGAGATTTGTGTCTGCCACTGGAAATTCGCAACAATCATTGATAAAGAACAAGACTTTATATTTGTTGCGTCAATATTTTGACACTCTGTCTCGATTATTAATAACTCGTTTCTTTTGGCGTTTGCTTTCCAGGAAGAAGTTCATCTTGTGGACCGTCGAGTGGCGGTTTCATTCAACTGATGTCGTGTTGCTCGATCATGGGTGCGGATATTGCTAGTATATTTACATATACACAAATCATTTTAGTTATTCTGTAATCTCATTCAATTCTTTTTCTATTTATTATTTCCTGCAGAATACATGAAAACACAACTCTATCCTCTGTGATTGAAAATCATCTGAAACCCGGTCCATGGAACCACCCATTGAAACAGTTTTGCGATGAGGCCTTGGACTCTCTCAAGTTTTTCATCCGAAAATATCCAAAGGTTTTCTGTTTCGATGAGCTGTTGATTCAGTTTATCTCTAGATTTCTACT